CTTCAAGGTGAAATAACTTCATGCAAGTGTGATTCTAAAGATGAATCTGGACAAATTTCTATTTTTTTGATAAAGCCATTGAGAGGAGAGGAGATCCTTTTTCACGAATGAGGTTGCAGATCACGCGATTAATGCGTGATGCAGGTTTTATATCTTTTGTTAGGGGTGTAATTGTCATATTATTATAGATTTTTTGTCAATTGGCTATCAAATCAATGCTTTTTAAAAATAGGGTACAGGTTAAAAAGTGACACAAATATAGGCTACGGCTGCAAATCCCCTATTTGGTCGCCCATTTTTAACTTATACCCGTTTTATTTTTCCGTTTGCATCCGTACCTATTTTTTGTTAAAAACATTTTAAAAAGACGATTTTGCCCTTCTTTAATAAAAGACTATTGACAAAACTCAAGACTACAGGGCAAAACTTCAGCATGTTTTAGTATGATGTTTTAGCAAATGAACTAAATAACTTCAGCATGGATTATAAAAAAATTAACTAGAAAATTACATACTGCAAGACAAAAACTTAAGCATGTTTAGTCTGAAGTTTTACCAAATGAACTAAATCTTCAGTTTGTTTAGACTGAAATTTCGGATAAAACTCATGACAAAACTGTAGACTGCATGACAAAACTTCAGCATGTTTTGGTATGAAGTTTTAGCAAATGAACTAAATAAATTCAGCATACATTAGCAAAAACTCATTAGAAAATTACATACCGCAAGACAAAAACTTAAGCATGTTTAGTCTGAAGTTTTAGCAAATGAACTAAAAAATTTAAGCATGTTTAGTCTAAAGTTTTAGCAAATGAACTAAATAACTTAAGCATATTTAGTCTGAAATTTTAGCAAATGAACTAAAAAACTTATGCGTGTTTTGTCTGAAGTTTTAGCAAATGAACTAAATAACTTCAGCATGTTTAGATTGAAATTTTAGCAAATTAACTAAATAACTTCAACATGTTTAGACTGGAGTTTCGGATAAAACTCATGACTAAACTCTAGACTGGAGGATAAATAATTTCAACATGCATTAGCATGAAGTTTTAGCTTCAATGTGAAACAACTTCGTGCTATATTAACATGAAGTTTTAGCTTCAGCATGAAACAACTTCATGCTACATTAACATGAAATTTTAGCTTCAAGGTGAAACAATTTCATGCAAGTGTGATTCTGAAGATGAATCTGGACAAGTTTCTAGTTTTTTGATAAAGCCGCTGAGAGGAGAGGAGGAGATCCTTTTTCACGAATGAGGTTGCAGATCACGCGATTAATGCGTGATGCAGGTTTTATATCTTTTGTTAGGGGTATAATTATCATATTATTACGAATTTTTTTGTCAGTTGGCTACCAAATCATAATTTTTAAAAATAGGGTACATATTAAAAGGTGACACAAATATAGGGTACGACTGCAAATCCCCCTATTTTAAGTTTAAGCATTTGGGTAAGTGGCTATTTAAGTTAATTCTTCAAGAAAATACTATGTTACTTTTTGTTCTATTTAGATTTGGGCTCAGCTGAAAGTAAAGGCCCACATTAGCCGGTTCAACCTGTGTAGTAAAAGTTTTTCATCAAAAACTGCAAAATGAAACATAAATTGTAAGCTTTTTCTCCCAACCTTCAGTTGCAAACTTAAAATCATAGTTTTTTTTGTTTCCCACCTGGTGTCTTGTACCTGCATTAGAGTCTGATTATATTCGGATTCGCATTATGTCGGCGCCCATTCGGAGAGAAGCGTTCCCTATCAAGAATTTTTCATACCCATAGTTCGATCCTGAGACATCTGGTTAAAGAAAAAGCAGCCCGTCCATTACACCACACCCTTTGGTGGTAACTTAAAATCATAGTAACAACAAAGCTCGGATGGTTGTTGGAAAGGAAATATTTAAGTGCTTAAAAAACACAATGAAATTCAGACTATAAGTAATTAGACCGTATTGGAGAAGCCACAGCGTTGCACATGATGTTGATTTTTGAATCAAATCATGTTAATTTAGCTGAAGTGTGAGATTAGGTGAGAGTATATTTTAACTAATTGTCGTTAAGTTAAAAGGTTTTGAAAAAACATGTGTAAATCCTAAGAGATCGTGCTCTAATATTATATTAATTGTATTAACAAATTTCTCGTAAGATAATACTACAACATCAACTCACGGGCCATATTATTTCGTTTAAACTCTTTTCAGGTCAATATTACACAAAAACACATAATATATTAGAAGTTCTGTATTTTCTAAACGTACAATTGATTAATAACTCAAAAATTTAGTTACATTACCCAAAAACTCTACTAGCTGTGGTTTACCCGTAAAACGGTACAGTTGAATTTATACGTGGTTTCTAGAGAAGTGAACTAATTCGATCCTGAAATAATAAAATAACTGAAGAAATACGCAACATCAATGAAATCAAGGAATAAGAAGATAAAATTGTATAAAGCTTTGAATTGATTATAGCATAAGTTTGTGTAACTACCCGGCCGGTCATTTTGAATATTTTAACCCCGTTCTCCCATTTACTGTTCAATTTATACGTTACAGTTGTTTTATGATTTACCGGGTTAGTTGGTTCGGGTCCGGAAAGAATCCGGAGTGAAATGAGACACTTAGCCTAATAATTAAAAATTTTAAGTTAGAAAAGTGACCGGATGTGGACTTATGTGTAAACGACCCCGGATTTGAATTTTGATGATTCCAATAGCTCCGTATGGTGATTTTAAACTTAGGAGCGTGTCCGAAAAATTATTTGATGGTATGTTTGTTTGGGACCCCGGGGGCTCGGGTGAGTTCCAAGGGGTTAACATATCATTTTTGGCCTTGGTGAGATTGCTGATATCTGCTGCTGCATTTTTCTGATTTCCTCTTTCGCGTTCGCGAGTGGGCCCTCACGTTCACGAAGAGTGGTGAGATTTTGTTCTTCGCGTTCACGAAGGGGAGGACGCGAACGCGAAGGTATGGTCTGTGTGTGCATCGCGAACGCAGGTGGTGAGATTGTTTTCTTCGCATTCGCGAAGGGGAGGACGCGAACGCGAAGGTATGGTGTATGTGTGCATAGCGAACGCGGGAGTGGTGTCACGTTTGCGAAGAGGAGGGAGGCAATTGGAGACCCCCAGGTCCTTGTTCTACGCGTTCGCGAGGTTGTGGTCGCGTTCGCGAAGGTCTGAGCTGGTAAAGCTTCGCGTTCACGAAGCCATGGTCGCGTTCGCGAAGGGTTAAATTCTGGGCAGTCGAGTTGTGCTTCGCGAACGCGAGGGACCAGTCGCATTCGCGAAGAAGAGAGGTCTGGACAGAAAGTTTAAGTTCAGACATTTTTAATGATTTGAAGCTCGTATTGAGGCGATTTTTGGGGGATTTTCAGAGAAAAATAACGCGGTAAGTGTTCTTAACTCAATATTGGTTAAATTATCCGAACCCATGGTTGTTTTTATTATTTAATTGGTGAATTAAGTTGGAAAAGTTTGAAAACCCTCTTGGATAAATTTGAGGATTTGAGGGCCGAATTATTATCGGAATTTAGTAATTTTGGTATGGTTAGATTCATGGTTGAATGGGCGTTCATAGTTTGTAACTTTTGTCGGGTTTCGAGACGTGGGCCCCACAGGCGATTTTTGAGCTAAATTTCGGATTTTTATGAAAAATTAGCATTTTCTTATGGAATTAATTCCAATAAATTTTATTGACTGAATTGAATTATTTGTGGCTAGATTCGAGGCGTTCAGAGGCCAATTCACGAGGAAAAGCCATTACAGAATAAAGAATTTCACAGTTTGAGGTAAGTAACAGTTTTTAATTTGGTCCTGAGGGTATAAAACCCCGGATTATTGGATTATGTGAGTATTCTGGAGATGACACACATGCTAGGTGACGGGCATGTTGGCGTGCACCGTAGGAATTGGGACTTGGTCCATTCCGTGAAACTGTAAAGTTGTATATCTTGTTGCTAGCTATATGCTCTCTCTGTGTTATAGAGATTTGACTGCAAATTATGTTATAAACTATTTTTAGGCTAATGTTGGTACTATTGGGACCCACAGAGGTCGTGTACATGTTGAACTACCTGCGTAATTGTTGTTTTATATTCAGTCACAGTTTATTTGTTTATTTTATCTCAGCCTCTATTGTTCATTATTGATGAATCATATCATTGTTGTTTGGACTGATTTCTTGATTATTGAGAGCCCGAGAGACTGGAGAGATTTGTGACTGAGTGAGGCTGAGGGCCTGATTGTGAGATATTATATTATAGCACGTGAGTTGTCCGTGCGGATCCTTGTATTATATAGCACGTGAGCTGTCCGTGCAACACGTGAGTTGTCCGTGCGGATTCAGATATTTATACTATGGCACGTGAGTTGTCCGTGCAACACGTGAGTTGTTTATGTAGATTATAGCGCTTGGGTTGTAGGAGCCCCTCCGGAGTCTGTACACCACTAGTGAGCGTGGGTACCCATTGAGTGTGAGTGCTGAGGGCCGAGTGGTTGAGCTGTTGTGATGAGTTGAGTAATTGTTGCCTGAGAGGCTGTACTTGCTTTGCATTTGTTGTTGCACTTGGTTGCTATCTGTTATTGTTGTGAAATATCTGAAGGATTTATATCCAGATTACATGAATTTGAACTGTATAAAATTGATTTGACTTAAACTGCTGGATTTGAAAGCATGTCTATTCTTTGTTGGAATTACTGAAAGTGAACTATAACTGTGTAGCTCGTCACTATCTTCAGTTCTTTATTTATTATTATTACCTGGTGAGTTGGTTGTACTCATACTACACCCTGCACTTCGTGTGCAGATCCAGGTGTTCCCGGGCATAACGGGTATTGATTCTTTCGCACAACTGATTTTACGGAGATGCTGAGGTAGCTGCCGTGTTTCGCAGACCTTGCCTCTCCTTCCCTATCTCCTTGTTTACTGTATTTGGTCTGAGACTATTATGAACCGTATTTTCTAGATTTGTAATCATATTAGGTGCTCATGTACTCANCGGCCATGGAAGGGCATGCTACGTTGTTTGTAAGGCACTTCTATGTCAATGGTTAAAAACGTTTGAATCGATTATCAGAATCAAGAAGCAAAACCTTATGCCACAAGAGACGGAAACCCTGCCTTGCCTTCTAATTTATTTGCTGAGTCTCTATTCTCATTGTAGTACAGCAATAACAGCACTTGTGAAACTTCTACAAATATTGATTGTCATGAAAATGTTATTTTCCATTATGCAGTTTATAAGTTGGAAATGCTGATTTGACGGTAATTCTGGTTGCACTTTATCCAGTCACGACTGGTGGGTTTGTTGGCAAATATATACTTCACGGTGATGGTCCTGGAGCAGTAGAATTTCTTAGATATCATTTTCAAGCTTCAACATTTGGTGATAACTCTATTCAGAGCCCAGAGTTGTCTAGAGATTGGGAGGTATTTTTTTCTGTGAGGTATAAATTAAACATTATTAAAGTGAAAAAAGTGTCATCTTCATGAAATTAATCTCAACCTTTTGCTCTTCACTATTCCCCTTATTTGAATAGATCCATTAATAGATCGTGGACTTGAAGAAAATTGAAAAATTCTGCATCAATGTTGAACTTGTTTAGTCCCAGGAGGCTACCTTGGATATCTGGTACAGATGGTCAGAAAAAGGTTCTAACTTTTACTTGGTTATCATCTAACCATCTAACTTAGTATTGCCTAGTTAGTCGTTAGCAAGTTCGTGCATTATCAATGTGTAGTGAAGGAACATTGTGTTTATCATGACCTGCAGGTAGTTTTAACTGCTGTAGAAGTAGAATCTCTTCGGTCAGAAATTGCTGCTTTGGAAGAAAGAGAAGCTCATTTAAAAGCGCAGTAAGTTGATGCTTTCACTGTGCTCTCATATTATGCCTCGTGCACCTCTTTTATTTTCTTTAAACACATTTGTGTTTGGTGTGGTTGGCTCTTTGATGTGATTGTGCTTTGATTTATTACCTGTGGCAAGGAGAAGGGTTCCCAGGCATTTTGCTGGTTAATTTGCTCACATATTTCTAGGTCATATAGTTTTGTTAATTTCTCATTATGATGCTTTGTAATGTGGGAAGTTTTAATCATGGAGTAAGTTACTGTCAAACCTCTTGCATAATGGAATAGGAGGACCTATTTCTTCATCTCTTTGGAGGTAGTCAGGTAGATTATCAGTGTAATGTGAAGTATGAACACATCCATAGATATAAATATAACCAACATTGGCTGCAGTGTAAAATCAGAGGTTTACGAGCAAAAGCATTGAAGCTTCGCCAAGTTTTATTTATTTATTTTCCTTAGCTGACTTGGCCTTTGAACAGTCTTTTTGCACATTCTATGAATGTGCTAAGGTGGAACTATGACATGACGTGTAATAAAACTGCGCTATACACCTGAACTCTCCATGTGTGACTTGCCTCAGTCTTCGATTATGAAAATCCTTCGGTAAGAGGATGCATTCTAAGTGCTTTCTCCACATCTGGCTAAAATGGAACCATCCGGGATAGTTGAGTGGATAAAAGAGGAAAACAGAAAGCAGGAAATTCCTTTTTTTCCCTTGAAATGGAAGAAAGCGGGAAATTCTTCTCATCTACCACTGAGAACAAGGGTGGAATCCTGACAGAGGCTAATTAGATGAATTCTTTCCACCTGCCTAAGCCTTGACGGCAGAGCTACCTAGTACATGGCTCGTGGGAGGCAGTTGGTCCTCGGTGGATTAGTCGAGGTGCATGCTAGCTAGTGGGGACATTGCCATTATAAAAAGAAATAAATAAAAGGGAAAAATAGCAGGAAAAGTGAACATCCTGCTAGATATTGCTGTGAGAGTTCTCTTCAGTCTTCAATGAACTAACGCACTTCCGGTCCATGCTTTTCAAACAAGAAAAAACATATTGGGAAGTGAGTATTGTCGATAGGAAAATCGAATTAATATTATTACATGGCATAACTGGCTTTCTAGATAATGAGAGAAGACATGAGTTATCAATATGATGGCATGCTTTGGAACAACTTCCAGTATATTTTATTGAGAACTCATGGATTTGTCTAAGCAGTAATCTTATGTCAGTTCTGATATATCTACGTATATCTTTCTATTCACAGATTAGAACATATTGATGAAATACTGCAGTCAGCTCGCTTGTCGGGTTATTTATTTGTGAGAACGGTACTGAACACAAACATCTGTCCTTTTCTCGATATCTCTTGGATTTTCAGGATTAACTTTGTGACAATCTTTTTCTTGCTTTTGTTCGACAGAGATGGGCGGCTTTACCAGGAGAACCTCTTCCAATTGATGATGACACTGAAGTTGACGACTGGCTTCCTAGATTTCTTGTCCTTCAGGGATCGTGTATTTTTTTGTATTCATCATCCACTGGTAATTTCACTGAAACATTCAGTTTCAAGTGTCATGCATTTTCTGGTATTGCCCTACATTAGTGGTAGTACATTATTCAAAACTTTTGATGATGTAACATGACGCTATGTGTTTTCTCTCTTCTCCCAATTTTGAGTTTCCATAAGAGGCAGAATCTTTCAACTAATTTCCGGGAAATCTTAAATGATTTCTTATCAGCTTATACTGAGTAATGGTATTCATTGTAGTATAATGGACTCACCTTAAAAAAAAAAAAAATCTTGGTAATAACTGTGAATATTACCATACCAACAATCATGAGTTCACAATACACCTAAAGAGCACCTAACCACACATCGACCTTCTAGGAAGATTAATGTGGAGAATTAGGCCTCAGAAAAGACTTTCTAGTTACACATGATTTTTTGTATCAGTCTATTGTTCCTATAGTTTCTTCTAGTCTGGATTAGAAGTTCTAATCTATGTACAATTTCCTTCTGAATCTTTACTACAACTAGCTCAATATTTACACTTTGTTTCTTGAAAATTGCCCAGTTCCTTGCCCTCCATGTATGGTAAATGATAGCACCTCATATAGCCGCTACTGTTTCCTTAGTTGCTTGCTTCCAATGCTTACTTCTGATTCTTTCCATTACCCTCTTCACCTCTCCTGCTTGAAGTTGGATGCTCAGCCAGCTTTCCAATTCCTTTCGAAGTGCACTGGTCCATGCACATTCTGCAAATAGATGTGAGGGAGTTTCTGCTGTGTGTGTACTACATAGGCAGCATTCACTGTTATCCACTTGAGTACTCAGTTGTCGAAGCCTATCTTTCGTCAAGAGTCTGTTCTGTACAGCTAACCATAGAATGAACCGATGCTTTGGTTGAGCAATAGCAGTCCACACCAGGTCAGCAGTAGGCCATTTTGTAAGATTACCTTTGAGAGCAATGTAGCTTCCTGTAATAGAATATTTGCCATTTAAGTACCAAGTGATCATGTCATCCTTCAGAGAGTTTATCTTCTTCCAATACCAGCTGCAATCCAGAGGGGGCCTATGTGTCCAAATATTATTGTCATGCTTCATATACACACCATGTACCCACTTCACCCATAAGGAGTCCTGCTTCTCTGATAGTTGCCATATAAGCTTGCCAACAGATGCAATATTCCATTGTCGACAGCTCTTAATATTAAGTCCTCCAAACTTTTTAGGCACACAGATCTTATCCCAAGATATTAGTGTTGTCTTCTTCTTCTCCTCTGTACCTCCCCGTAAGTACTCACCTAAAATTTGCTCATATAGTTTGATGTGCTTTAATTGTTTCTTGAGTCTTGATTGACTGGTATGGGATTTTAGTAATTAGAGATGGAAATTCAAACCCTCAACCCCAAAATAGGACCTTATCGATCCCTCAACCTCACCCACACCTCGTGATCAGGTGGGTGAAATTTCTGTCCACCCCCACTAGTGGGCATTGGGCACTTGCACCGTCCTTATTGGTTTTGATGCTCTATAACTGAACTTGTACTCTTCCCTAATTTTGCAACGTCAAAGTTTCAAAATCAATAAAGAATCTATATTAGCAAAATTGATGGACAAACGTGAAGAGGGTGAATGGAAGCAGACACAAGAATGTGGAAGACAGTGGTTGAAGATGTGAAAACATGTGGAGGGAGGCGTTAAAATTAGTTGAAAAGTTTCAGCTATCCAAAACATGGAGGAAATATTTATTCGGTGTGGGTAGAGAATGGTGTACCTTATATGATATCCTCCCCCGCCCACAGTCTATATGGTTGAAAAAATTCCAAAAGTTCATCCTCCAATTCCCCTGTTCATGTAGGTGGAGGAGGAAAAGTACCTGTGGTAAGAGTAAAAATTGTTGATCTCTATTTGGTATTGCTCACTGTTAAGTTATATTGGGATTGACTGACATTATAGCTTGCATATGCTTAATTAATCATGCCGTCAAAGCATCTTGATGTTGAAATTGCCATCTATATTTGATATGGCTCACCGTTTAGTTATACTGGGATTAGCTGACTTTGTAGTTTCATATCTCTTAATTCCTCATGAGCCCCTTGCGGCTCGTTATCTTCTCTTGATTTAAAAACTGCCATAATCTCTTTATGTACTTGGATATTCTGATATCTAGTAACACCATGAAGAGTGTTCTGTTATCTTTTAACACTACAAAGAGGCTATTTCGTGAATAAATTTGAGTAAACATGATGCAGATCTGAGCCCTCAAGATTCGACCCTCCTATCTGATGTTGTTGAAGTTGGAGCCCTGCCTTGTCTGACACGAGAAGACGGTGAAACTCGGTATTGCTTTTATATCTCAACTCGTCATGGGTTGCGATATGAATGTTCTAGTGTTTCTAAAATACAGGTAATGGTTGTATCTGGATCATTTACTGTGAGTACCCAGTCTTTGTTCGTTCTACTATCTGTTGATTATGGACCATGCGTGTACATGCAAATTCATATGCGCCTCTCTGCATATATTGATCTTTTCCATTATTTCTATGCATGATATGATGGATTTCGAAGTGCCTGTTGGTAGTACTAAAGTCTAAATGTATTGCCTTGATATCCGGACATAAAAATGCTTTATTGGAATCTTGTCTTTTCAAATTAGTCTTCCCTGGACGATTAGATATTTTCAAGTCCAGATCATTATAAACAAATGGACCGAGTACTTCTAACAGTAACTAATACATGTATTTACCAATGTTGGGTTTTAAGCTTTTTAGAGCTTAAAATAAGGTGAATGGGAAATGGAGGTAAAAATAAAATTTTAATTTTCCCTCCTTTACAAGGGAACATTGTCACATATTGGAGGAAGAAAGCTCATTTGTTGAGTATATATATGATTACACCTCTTCTAGCTCTTAAAGAGTTGAGAAGAAGGCAAGCATCGCGCTGTCGTCATCGTCGCTCGGCTTCGGATCAAATTTATTTGTTAAATACTACTCCCTCCGGTCCACAATAAGTGACCAGTTTGCTTTAGGCACGCCCATTAAGAAAATACTAAATTCTATACAAAAATACATAGTATGACTAAACTACCCTTAATTAAATATTAATGTGAGGAGTAAAAAAAACTTTTTAGGGATATGCACATAAGGGTAAAAGAGTAAAAACAAATTGAATTGTCATCGTCGCTCGGCTTCGGATCAAATTTATTTGTTAAATACTACTCCCTCCGGTCCACAATAGTCAATAAGTGACCAGTTTGCTTTAGGCACGCCCATTAAGAAAATACTAAATTCTATACAAAAAAATACATAGTATGACTAAACTACCCTTAATTAAATATTAATGTGAGGAGTAAAAAAACTTTTAAGGGATATGCACATAAGGGTAAAAGAGTAAAAACAAATTGAATTTTTTCTTGATTACATAAATGGACACTTATTTTGAACCAAAATGAAAAAGTAAATTGGTCACTTATTGTGGACCGGAGGGAGTAATCTTTAATCCAAATCGACTGTTTCTGTAACGGAATCTAAAGTTTCCCTCCGATACTATTTTCCCGTTTCATTTTTGCGTAAATAGTCATTTACGTAATAGACGTTTTACGTAATCATTTAAACCCAACCTGCTGACTATATATAGAAGGCCATTCCCTCAGATTTTCCTTACGAAAATTCTGAATTTTCCTCTTCTTTTCTGCATTATATTCTTACAAAACAAACAATGTAAGTGTGATTGCTGCCGCCATTTGTGTTAGTTGAAACATTGGGGTTTGAAGTACCGCTACACCAATGTGTAATCCGTTCTATCCTGAGAGGACATAATTCATAACCTCGAGTACTAGGAGTGGATTAAGTTCCTTAAGGAAACACTGAATTCAGTGGACTCGGATTAATTTCTACTTCTACATTTCTGTTTATACGTTGTTTTTCTTCTCCAGAATTATTTTACAAATACAGTATACTAACAACCAAGAGATTGTGAGTTCGAGTCACCCCAAGAGCAAGGTGGGGAGTTCTTGGAGGGAGGGAGCCGAGGGTCTATCGGAAACAGCCTCTACCCCAGGGTAGGGGTAAGGTCTGTGTACACACTACCCTCCCCAGACCCCACTAGTGGGATTATACTGGGTTGTTGTTGTTGTTGTTTAGTATACTAACAACCAAAATCTGATTTATAGATTCATACTCATTTTATCATCTACCTGAATGCTTCCTTTTGCAGGTTGATTCCTGGTTGGCGACATTACAGAATTGAGTCTGAGCTGCAATCTAATAGCACAGCACCTGATGAGTTAACTAAGACTTGACATGTTCTTCTATCAGTATTCTGTTAGAACCTGTAAATAGGTCAAAAATGGAAGCAAAGGCATTATCATTTACTTGGAAGTCGATTGCCAATTGTTAGTTTTCACCATTATTCTGTACATAGCCTATCTAACTGCCCGTTCAAGTTACCATTTGAATAAAATGTTTCCAGTTTAAGGATTGTTATCATCCATTAATGATGTCCTGGAAACAAAGCAATGTCTTTCTTAATGGAATGTCAAAGCGAATAAGGTATTCCATCTCATAGCCGATAATACACCCTTTTCGTGCAAGTTTTTCTCCGTCTCATATGCATTGATTTTGTGATCCTTTTTCAGCAAATATACTGAGTTAATACCCTAAAACCCACTTAAATTATTCGGTATCCCCAAAACCTCCATGAACTATATTGTCGCTCGTATTAAAAACTCCTCATCGCTGAACTGACATAACATGCGTAGATACTCGTTTTGGAGCGCGTGGTAGCTGAAGAAAGCCATCAAAATGACCCACCTAACATAAAATAATGGCTAATTAGCCTAACCCTCTTTCAAATTTATTTATTTTAATAAATATTCTCCTTATTTCAATTATATCCATCTTTCTTCCTCATTTTTCACCATTCTTCCTTGTTTTTTTCACCTTCTTCTTCATTTTTAACCTTTTTTTCTTCAGTTCTTCATATGGGTTTCCTCTGAAAAAATTTCTCTCTCTTGTTTCCTCTGAAATTATTTATTCTTGTTTTAGTCTTCTTTCATGCCTTACACATACTGTTAAAAGAATACCAATTTAAATCATCTTATTAAACTCAACACCTTGTAAAGAATAAAGTTTAATCTATTGAACCTTTTTATGTAATCTAGAATTAGAAAATATAATTGGTGGGCAATTAATTTTTTATTTGCGAAATTTTATTTTGTGTAATCTTTTTTATGTAATACAAGATGACTTTTAAGAAATATAACATTATATGCCTTTATTTATATTTTAACTGTGCTACAAAGTGAATATAAATAAGGACTTATCAATTGGAGTCTAGCATAAAGCACAATCACAATTAAACCTAAAATTAACACAGTACATTAGATATTATTTTGGCAAAAAATCCTAGAATTAATCAATCATTCAAGAGTAATACATCATGAATAAACTATATAAATTTTTTTGTACAAACCATAAGTTAATATAGTTAGACAGACGTACCTTTAAAAGTACGATATGGAGTTTTAATATATAGGGGAATATAATTCAGGGGGATTTTGGGGACACCAAATAGTTTAAATAGGTAACTCGCGAAAAAGTGATAGTTTAGGAGGGTTTTAGGCTGAGTTAAATAGCCATGTGTAGTGCTATATGGCACGTTTTTTAGACAATTAGGAGCGTGTACTAGACACACCTCTAAGAATACAATGAGAAATTTTTAATATGAAGGGCAATATAGTTCAGGGGGATTTTTGGGATACCGAATAGTTTAAATAGTAAAGTGACAAAAACTCGATCGTTTAAGTACGAAGCACAAACCATATTTTCCAAGCTTCGATAATGTGCCTAAGGCTTCTGAAATGATAAGACTAAATGTTGTCATCTACTACTACAAGTCTTGTATCGAACTGTGGGAGTAAAGAACTTATTCGAAAGCGTTTTACCTTAAAAGGCCTATTCAATTTTCGACGTGAATTCAAATTAGTGGATCAGTGTGTTTTGGATAGCAGATGTCTTTAAAAAAAATAATAGCGTAAGTTGTGTTCTCATAATAATGCAAGGGTGTATACGGCCGAAATGAATTTCAGCGTTGGCATGTCCGGTACGGTTCGAATGGTGGTATATCGAAGTAAGATCTCGAAGGGGGGCACGAACTAACCTAGAGTCCGGGGAGGCCGGTCCGTGTTGAGATCGATATCATAATCAAACTCGAACAAGAATCGAATCATGGCGCGGGTAGATCTATCGTGCTGATAATCCGAAAACCAACCTACATCGACCTGGAATCCATCCGAGGGCTCGAACCAGGATCGGGCTCGAACCAAGATCACGAGTTCGGGCCGAAATCAAGCTCGAACCAAAATCGAGGATTCTAAGCAAGATCGAGCTCGCAGGCAAAAGCCGTTGTAATCCCACTAGAGGGAATCTTGGCAGAAATTATGAAAAAGCTGATTTATCATGGGTCTCCCACTGAATGTTTATTTTATTATACTTGTAGCCAAACCCCTTTACTATAAAAGGGCTTGTTTATCATTCTTGTAGGGCATCCTTTGGAGGGGACATAGACTATCACAAACTGTATTATTTCCTCTATAAGAAAAGAGTGATCTTTCTAGTTTCTGAGATTGATTATATTTTGTAAAATCCTAAATTCACTGTTCATAATTGATTCGCCTGGATTACGTTTTCTCCAAC